GCCACGGCCGTCCTGGGTGTGCAGCTGGGCCCGAGGGTCGGGGCCACCCACGGCCGGGCCCTGACGTCCTCAAAAGCACACCCCGGGGACGCGGCCTGTCCTTCAGGGCCCGGTCCGAGTCTGGGCCCTCTCTTGGGCGGCCCCAGTGCCGGCCGCACCTGCCTGACAGCCGCAGGGGCCCAAGGAGGGTGGGCTGCTGCTCTCACTGGCCAGCCGTGTCCAGGTCGGGCTGCGGGCCGGGCCCTGGGCTCGCGCTGGCCGTGGGGCCCTAGCAGGCTGGCCGCTGACCGCCTCTGCCTCAGAGCCTAGGGCGGGCGAGGGCCCTGAGTCCTCGGGCGCCTGCGGGGAAGGGGCAGCCTGGCCGGGGCTCGCCCAGCCCCACGGCGGGCGGCAGTGCGCGGGGCCTGTGGCCTGTGCCCGCGGGTCTGGGCTCTGGCTTCCTCCGGCGGCAGAGGAGGCACCCGGGGAACCAAAGCTGCCTGGCAGGGCGCCAGGTGCCGGGCGTGGGCTGGGCGCCGGCCGGAGCCCCAGAGTCAGGGGGCCCGCACCGCCCGCTGCAGGGGTGACTGCCGGTGGCCTGCCGCCCGGCCTGCGGACACCTAGCGCCAGCTCTGTGGGCAGAGATGCGGGTCGGCCTGGCTGCGCCTCAGGGTCACGCTCCCACTGGGGAGCCTGCGGTGGGGCGGGCAGGCTGCCAGGCGGTGCGGGCACGGCAGAAGCGGCCGCCCCGGGCGGGGAGCACGCTGCCCGGGGCCCCTTCCCCGGCCTGGATGTGGCAGGGACTAAGGTCAGGGAGTGGGCCTTGGTCAACCGCCCCTGCCCGCCACCCTGGGCAGCCTGACACCCGGCAGGAAATGAGCAGCCCAGGCCTGGGCTGCTGGGCACCTGTGGGCCTCCCCGGCCGCCTGCCCTGTGTGGGCAGCAGTGCGGCCCGGCACCTGGGCCCGAGGGAGGCCACTCTGCCCCTCCCACGAGAGCACTGGGCGCTGTGGGGCGAGCGCTCGGGGAGGTGTCTGGGGGAGGGCTGGGGGCAGCCCCTCCGTCCAGACGCTGGCCGGCCCTCCGCAGTGGGGGCGCGCCTGGCCCATCCCGTTCCTGAGACACAGACCTGGACAGCCTGCAGGGTGTGGCCCTGGCCGGTGAAGGCCGTCCGGGGAGGAGGGGGCTGGTGGCCGCAGGTGAGTGGAGGGGGCTGACCTGGGCAGCCCCTAGCTGAGTGGGAGGAGGCCCGTGGGGTGGGTGGGCTGCGGCCGCGCTTGCTCAGGCGGGTCCAGTGAGGGCCCCCCGGTAGGCGGCCCCACCGCTGCGGACACACCCGGGGGTTGCCCCGGAGCCCTGGGGTGTCTGGCTGCAGGCGCCTTCCAGCCCTGGGGTGGGGGGTTAGCAGGTGCCTGCAGAAGGGCAGTGGGAGACTGGCCCTGGCGGGGGGCCGGAGGGCGCAGCGGTCTGGACCTGGCCGGGGCCGCGCCTGTCTCGGCCTGCCTGGGGGAGGCGGCGGCCCTGCGGCCTGGGCTCTGGGCACCTTGCAGGCCGCGGGGCTTCAGTGTCACCTGCTGGGCAGCTTGCCAGGGCGCCGAGCTGATGCAGGCGGGCTGCCAAGGGCCCGCCTGTCCCCAGCGCCGGGCCGGCCCCCCCGCGCCCGCCCTGGGGGTGGTGCCAGCCCAGTGGGAAGTGATGAGGGCGCTGGTGGGGGTCCTGGCCGCGCCAGCGGGGTCCGGAGGGGGCAGCGGGGAGCCGCGGCCGCGGGGGCGGGGCGGGTGCGCCTGGCAGCGGAAGAAAGGAGGGTTAATTGCGGGCGGGCGGCCAGCGCGGTGGGCGCGACTAATAACAATAATAAGGATAATTTGTCTCGCGCTCCGCGGGCCGCGCACCCTGCGCTCATTGGGCAGCTCAGGGCGTGGGCGGTGCGGGACACCCCGCCTTCAGCCTGGCCGCCTGGAGAAAGCGGGGACAGCCCCAGGCCGCCAGGGTCGGGAGCCCCTGTGCCGAGCCAGCATCGCGGGGGGTGTGAGGGCCCCCCGACCCTCCTGGGCCTCCTCACCCGTTCTCGGTGACCTGTCACCCCAAAGTGCAGCTTGGGGGGTCGCTGGCCGGCCTGGCGGTGGCCTCTGACCTCAGCGGCTCCTGCCGGAGGTTACCGCATGGTCCGGGCGGGACTCCAGCCCCGGCCTCCGCAGGCGCGTGCTCCCGGAGCCCGCGGGGAGCCCCGGAGCAGCCGGGGGTGTGCACTTTGGTCGGAGGGTGGGGCCGCGGGGGGGGGGCTTTCCCCGGGAACCCCCTGCGGGCGGCAGGAAGAGCCCCGCCCCCGCGCGCCCAGTCCCTTCCTGGCTCGGCTGCCCTCCGCCTGGCAGAGCCGAGGGGGCGGTGGTACCCCGCGTCCTGCCTGGGGGCGTGGCCCCTGCCCGTGGGGTCCCTCAGCGCCGCCCGCGGTGGGTGTTGCCCGGCGCCGCTGGCGGGTGTGTGGAGGGCGGAGCCACCGCGTCCTGCGTCTCGCGGAGGGCCAGGGCCAGGGCGCTCCCCGGGCCTCCCCGTGCGGCCAGCCCTGACGGTGGGGGCCAGGCCGGGGGCCCTGGCGACGCTCCCAGGGGTGCCGTGTGGACACGCCCAGAGGCCTGCCGACGCTGGGCTTGCCGGGCGGCAAGGGCGCTCGCCTCCGCCTGCGG